ATGGCCCGGGCATCGGGTGGCCAGGCAGGGTGCACGATGCAAGGTCCTCGTGCTCAGGACCCACCCACCACAGGTGCAGATGGGCAACGTGCGCCTGGCCCTGGGCCCTGTCCAGTATGAGTCAGAGCCCATGCTGCCCACCTTTCCCATGGAGGCCCAGGTGGGCCTGGGTATGGGCGCTGCTGTGCTGATCGCTGCCGTGCTCCTCCTCACACTCATGTACAGGTAATGGCACCCCATGTGCAGGTTTTGTGGGACACGGGGTGAGGGGCCCTGGAGGCCTGGGCTGTGGCTGAAGACGGGCCACACACAGGCACAAGAGCAAGCAGGCCCTGCGGGACTACCAGAAAGTGCTGGTTCAGCTGGAGAACCTGGAGATAGGCGTGGGTGACCAGTGCCGGAAGGAGTTCACAGGTGTGTGTGCATGTGTGTCTATGTGAGTGCAGGGGCAAAGGGCCCACTGGCCCTGAGCCCACATTTCAGTGGCTCCCGGCCACAGACCTGATGACTGAGATGACAGACCTCAGCAGTGACCTGGAGGCCAGCGGGATTCCCTTTCTGGACTACGGAACGTATGCCGAGCGAGCCTTCTTCCCAGGCCACAGTGGCTGCCCACTGCAGCCCAAGCTGGAGGGTCCCGGGGAAGAGGGCCATCGTGCCACTGTGCACCAGGGTCTCACCCAGCTCTCCAACCTGCTCAACAGCAAGCTCTTCCTCCTCCACGTGAGCCCTGAGGGGTGCTAGGGGTGGACAGGGAACATGGGGAGGTGCAGTCCCACCATGCTGGGGGCAGGGTGTCCAGATGTCACATGGGGTTTCCTGGAGTGAGCACTGACTCCCTGCTCAGCTCATCCACACCCTGGAGGAGCAGCCCAGCTTCTCCCAGAGGGATCGCTGCCATGTGGCTTCACTGCTGTCCCTGGCACTGCACGGCAAGCTGGAATACTTGACTGACATCATGAAGACTTTGCTCAGCGACCTGGCTGCCCATTACGTGCGCAAGAACCCCAAGCTCATGCTGCGCAGGTTGGCCTGGCTCTGGATGGGCTCCGTCCCTGGGGTAGGGGCCAGGAATCCCCGGGGTAAGAGGAATGGAGGAGCATTCTGACCAGGTACCTGGGGCCTCCTCCCCACAGGACAGAAACTATGGTGGAGAAGCTGCTCACCAACTGGCTGTCCATCTGTCTCTATGCCTTCCTGAGGGTGAGGGGCACTATGCTGCCTGCCACAAACCAGGGTGGCACTAGCCTGCCCTGCCAACACTTGAGAGTGGCCTGCTTCAGCCTCCCTAGCACATGCCTGAGTTACCCCAAGTGCCTACACTGGTCCCCAGAGCCCACACCTGCCTAGTAGGACTATTGGGAGGCCCTTTCCTGGCTGGATGGCAAGCAGAGGTGGGGAGGGCTCAGGCCAGAGGCCGCAAAGGCTGGCTGTCCCAGTCAGTCCTTGCCTGCACCCTGCACTCCCACCATGGCCGGGCTGGGCCACTCTGGTACGCAGCCCCACGGCCAATTCTGGCACACCTTGGTGTTTGCAGGAAGTGGCTGGTGAGCCGCTGTACATGCTCTTCCGTGCCATCCAGTACCAGGTGGACAAGGGCCCTGTGGATGCCGTGACAGGCAAGGCTAAACGGACTCTGAATGACAGCCACCTGCTGCGAGAGGACGTGGAGTTCAGGCCTCTGACACTAATGGTGCTGGTGGGGCCTGGGGCTGGTGTGGCCACAGGTGGTGAGGTGCAGCGAGTGCCAGCCCGGGTGCTCGACACAGACACCATCACCCAGGTCAAGGAGAAGGTGCTGGACCAAATCTACAAGGGCACCCCCTTCTCACAGAGGCCCTTGGTGCACACTCTGGACCTCGGTGAGAAGCCCGTCCTCCCGGCCCAGCTTCCACCTAGCACCTGCAGGGGACTTGGGCTGATGGGCTTGCACTGGTCCCTCCAGAGTGGCGCTCGGGTCTGGCAGGTCACCTGACACTGTCAGATGAGGATTTGACCTCTGTGACTCAGAACCAATGGAAAAGACTCAACACCCTGCAGCACTACAAGGTGCTGGCCGGCAGGGACAGGGCAGGACGGGGCAGGGAGCAGCATACATGGGCTCCCGGATCAGGACTTCCTCCATCTCTGTCCTACCAGGTCCCGGATGGCGCCACTGTGGGGCTCATTCCTCAGCTGCACAATGGCGGTGCTATCTCCCAGAACCCAGCACAGAGCTGCCCCTCAGGGGAGAGTGAGTCTCCGTGGCTGGCTGTCCTGCCCTTGCCCTCTGCCCTGATGGGGTCCCCACCCTCTGCCCATCACCTCCTCCCATCCCTGTCCTCCCTGCCTGGCCTGTGGTACAGGCTGGGGGTGGGGCGAGACTGAGGCCAGGTCCCTGCCCCCAGACATTCCCATGCTAGAGGATGGCGAGGAGGGTGGGGTGCGCCTGTGGCACCTGGTCAAGGCCACCGAGGAGCCGGAAGGGGCCAAGGCACCACGCAGCAGCCTGCAGGAGCGGGAGCGGGCTCGAGCCAAGGCCATTCCAGAAATCTACCTCACCCGCCTGCTCTCCATGAAGGTCAGTGTGCCCGGGCCCACTGGGCTGGGGCGAGGGCAGCCCCTTACCTTGTGCTGTCACCCCACAGGGCACGCTGCAGAAGTTTGTGGACGACACCTTCCAGGCTATCCTCAGTGTGAACCGGCCTGTGCCCCTTGCGGTCAAGTACCTGTTCGACTTCCTAGATGAGCTGGCGGAGAAGCTTGGCATCGAGGACCCAGAGACCCTGCACATCTGGAAGACCAACAGGTGCCTTCCCGGCACACCCTGGCCACCCCTGAGGTGCAGGGCCAGGGCCTGAGCCCCTGGGTTTCACCCCACACCTGGCCTGTGTATCCAGCCTGCTGTTGCGATTCTGGGTGAATGCTCTGAAGAACCCACAGCTGATCTTCGACGTGCACGTCTCGGACAACGTGGATGCCATCCTGGCTGTCATTGCGCAGACTTTCATTGACGCCTGCACCATCTCGGAGCACAAAGTGGGCCGGGTGAGGGTGGGCCAGGCACCTGCAGACCAGCAGAGGAGCGTAGGCTTCGGGGCACCTGGTTGGCCTAGGTAGGCACACCGCTGGTTGCCCTACCTCCCAATCATGCTGACGCCCCACCCCCTGCACTAGGACTCTCCAGTGAACAAGCTGCTCTACGCCCGAGAGATCCCTCGCTACAAGCAGATGGTGGAGAAGTAGGTGGCGGTGGCGGCAGGGCTGGGGGGCCAGGCTGCCCGCCCCTAACTCTGGGCTCCTGCAGATACTACGCAGACATCCGCCACAGCTCACCAGCCAGCTACCAAGAGATGAACTCGGCTCTGGCTGAGCTCTCCGGGGTGAGGCCAGGCATAGCCCTCCATCTCTAGGGGGATTCCCTAGCAGAGCCCAGGGGCCATGGGGTGTGCGGCCTGGGCTGGAGGTCACTTTTGCCCACATGCTGCCCCCAGAACTATACCTCTGCTCCCCACTGCCTGGAGGCTCTGCAGGAACTGTACAACCACATCCACAGGTATTATGACCAGGTGAGGCCCCAGTATCCGGGGGTGGGGCACAGGACAGGCCAGGATGGCTGGATCCCCATCCTTGCTGGCGGTGGGCAGGGGCCCTGCCAAGACACAAGTGGGCAGAAACAGGCTCAGTGGTCACTCTGGTCACCTGACAGATCATCAGTGCCCTGGAGGAGGACCCTGTGGGTCAAAAGATGCAGCTGGCCTGCCGCCTGCAGCAGATCGCCGCGTTGGTGGAGAACAAGGTGACCGACCTGTGAGCCAGTGGAAAGCAGGACCTGCAGAAGCCTTGCCCGGCTTCCACCCTAGGACCAAGCCAGGGCCCAGAGGAGCCGCCTTGCTGGGCTTGTCTCTAATTTATGACACTCCCTACCCCTCACCTACTGTATTTATTTGCTTGCTGAAATAAAACAGAAAGGTGTCTTTTTTGAAAAAGCCCAACCCTCAGCCCCTCACAGCTCACTGCCACTGCCCCAGAGCCAGGATGGACTTAGGAGTTTTTTTTGTTTTTTTTTTTTTTTTTTGTCTTTTTGAGACAGCGTTTCCCTATGCAGTTCAGGCTGGCCTTGAGCTCACTTGAACTTGCAACAATCTTCCAGCCCCAACCTGCCGAGTGCTGGGATTACAGGCATGAGCCACCACACCTGGCTCAAAGGATGGACTTATTTTTTGAGACAGGTTCTCGATACGTAGTTCAAGCGGACTTACATTCACTATGTAACCCAAATTAGCTTTGAATTCACAATGATCCTCTTGCCTCAGCCTCCTGAGTGCTAGGATCACAGGTGTACACTACCACACCTAACCGGGATGACCTTTCTAAGCAGCAATGGTGACAAGCTGTCAGCCTTGTTGGAACCCCTCACTGCACCCACAGATGCAGAGCAGGCCCCTCTGTCTGTCCCCCAGCACTGCCTGTGCACAGATCTGGGCCCCAGCCATGCCCTGATTGTCCTGGATGCGTCCGGTCCTGAGGCTGAAGCCTCCCAGTCTCACTCAACTGACAGGTAGTGTCTGTGGGACATTGTGGCTGCTGAGGACATGGCTGGGTTGGCTGCAGCAGGCACCCAGCAAATGGTGCAGATGGGGGAACGCAGCAGGAGCAGTGACCTGGAGCATCAGGGAGTGCCAGACGCCACAGCAGGTCCCTGAAAGGCTCTGGCACTCTGGTGGTGGGCACAAGCTGCTCCTGACTCTTGCCTATGCCCCATCGAGCCAAGGGCACCTACAGTACAACCAGCACAATCTGATGAGATTGGGGGGGGGTCGCTCCAGGAAGACTCCTGCAAGGGCCAAATGGGAAGTCCAGGAATGCCTCAAAAGTTCCAAAACGCAGCTGGTGCTTTGCAGCATAGGGGGAGGCACTCAGCTGGAGGACCTGGTCACCATGCCAACCACACTGCCACAGGAGGTCCACGCAGTCAGGCCTGTACAAAGGCGCTTGGGCAGGGGTAGGGACTGCTTTGCCCTCATCTAGGCATTCCTTACTTGGTTCTGAAGTGTAGAGGCTCAGCCTGGGGCCCAGATGGCCTCTGACTGTCCCCAGAGCATGGCAGAGCCTCCGCCTGGGGGCCCCCCACACTGCCCCCTCCCCGAGCGCATACCTTGCCCACAGCCGAGCAGCTGGGAGGCTATTTATAAAGGCAAGTGAGATCAGCAGCCGAGGCTATAAATGTGTGGGCCACGCCAGGGCCCCACAGGAGTGGCCCAGGCGCTGGAGCTGTGGGCCGTGAGGCCAGGATGAGCACCAGCACGGGGGGCGGTGGCGGTGGCGACAGTGGTGGCAGCAGCAGCAGCAGCAGCAGGTAGGGCTCAGCTTGGCGCCCAGGGTCTCCGACACATCACACGCTCACTGCCTGCTTGCCCCATCCCGCCCACAGCTCACAGGCCTCCTGTGGGCCTGAGTCCTCAGGCTCCGAGCTGGCCTCAGCCATGCCAGCGCCACAGATGCTGCCGGGGTTGCTGGGCTCTGACGACGAGGAGCAGGAAGACCCCAAGGACTACTGCAAGGGTGAGGCCCGGGCCGAGCTCCCGGGGCCAGGCTGGTGTCTCAGGGGCTTGGGCAGCCCGGAAGCGGCAAGTGTCCAGGCCCCCAGGGGCCAGGTGGCTGGCAGGGCTGGCTGGCTGGGGCAGGGAGAGATGCGCCTGCTCTGTTGGCTCCCTTTGGCAGGTGGCTACTACCCAGTGAAGATTGGTGACCTGTTCAATGGGCGCTACCATGTGGTGCGCAAGCTGGGCTGGGGCCACTTCTCCACCGTGTGGCTCTGTTGGGACATCCAGTGAGTGGCCCCCAGTCCCCAAGGACCAGCACTAGCTATGCTTCTGTGCCCCGAGTGTAGCCAGAGCCAGCGCATGACAAGGGTCTCGCTGTCACAGGCGCAAGCGCTTTGTGGCCCTGAAGGTGGTGAAGAGCGCAGGGCACTACACGGAAACAGCTGTGGATGAGATCAAGCTCCTGAAATGCGTGAGGCACCTCCCTGCCTGCTTGGGGCTCTCAGCTGAGGAGGGTGGGGCTCCTGGGGGAGGTTCCAGCTGGTGCCGCCTGGCAGGAAGGTACCAGAGGAGCGGGCGAGCAGAGCCACTGGTGCATGGGGGCCACTGAAGCGTAGAGGAGACCATCTGTGGCCGCCTGGGTTCCAGGTTCGAGACAGCGACCCCAGTGACCCCAAAAGGGAGACCATTGTCCAGCTCATAGATGACTTCCGGATCTCAGGGGTCAATGGAGTCCGTATCCTTGGCAAGCTGGGCAGGGGTACAGCAGGAGAGGACAGCTTCCCCTCTTTAGCTCTTTGTACCGCTACTTGGGCTGCGCAGTCCAGGACCCAATGTACCCCTCTGGGAATCTGGGTTTGCATGCATGGGGAGTGGGTGGCTGTAATAATGTGTGTGTGCACGCACATCATCTGGACCAAGGAGAGCACTAGAGTGCACAGGGCCTCTCGAACTAGTCACACACCTGATAGTGATGAAGCTCCAAGATGCTCTGCAGAGTGTGGGCCACCTCTGCACTGGCCAAGCCCTTCACTCCACGCCCAGATGTGTGCATGGTGCTGGAGGTCCTGGGCCACCAGCTTCTCAAGTGGATCATCAAGTCCAACTACCAGGGCTTGCCTGTGCCCTGCGTGAAGAGCATCGTGAGGCAGGTGAGTGCCCCCAGGAGCCTGGCCCGCCCGGCCCGGCCCGCACAGGACCACTATGGCTCAGGTGGGCTGTGTCCAGGTGCTGCACGGCCTGGACTACCTGCACACCAAGTGCAAGATCATCCACACGGACATCAAGCCTGAGAACATCCTGCTGTGCGTGGGCGACACCTACATCAGACGCCTGGCAGCTGAAGCCACCGAGTGGCAGCAGTCAGGGGCCCCGCCACCATCCCGCTCCACAGGTACCAGCAGGCCATGTGGGGCCAGGCTGCGCCCAGAGCCTCAGGCCCTGCCTGATCTCCACTCCTCTCTCCCTACCCCACTGCACCTAGTCAGCACTGCCCCCCAGGAGGTCCTGGTAAGTGGGGGCACCCCTCCTTCTCCATAGCTCCTCAGCACCCCAACAGTGGTAATTTCCAAAAGCTGTAGGAAGAAAGCGTGGGCTTTCCCAATACTTTAGGCTGCCTCAGCTGGGGCGGGAGGACCAGAGAAATGGGCCTCGGGGCGGTAGCATCCCAGGTGTGCCCAGGGCCAGGCCCAGGCCCAGTTAGGGAACTCGCACTGATAGACAGCAGGGCCAGGTGGCAGCAGCCTCAGGAATGACCAAGGCTCTGGTGGCAGACCGGGAAACTGTCAAAAAACAAGCGGAAGAAGATGAGGCGCAAAAGGAAGCAGCAGAAGCGGCTGCTGGAGGAGCGGCTGCGGGACCTGCAGCGGCTGGAGGCCATGGAGGCAGCAGGACACGCAGAGGGTGAGGGGCCAGTGAGGTGCCACACTGCCAGTGGGCACACGCACCACCCGCTGCTCACACGGGCTTCTGCCCCAACCCCAGACCTGGGCTCAAGACTTGAGGGAGGCAGCGGCTCCACCTCCTCCTCGGGCTGCCACCCTGGCGGTGCCCGAGCCAGCACCTCTCCGGGCTCCTCCTCCCCGCTTCCCGGGGGCCAGCGCAGCCTCAGCCCCAGCTCGCAGACGTCGGGCTTCTCAGGCTCCCTGTTCTCCGCGGCCTCCTGCTCCATCCTCTCGGGCTCCTCCAACCAGCGAGAGACAGGGGGCCTCCTGTCACCCAGTGGTAAGTGTGCACAGAAACGGGCGCAGGCAGCAGAGCAGAGGAGCCAGGCTGCCCACACCTCTGCCCTTCCTCCCACAGCACCCTTCGGTGCCTCGAACCTCCTAGTGAACCCCCTGGAGCCCCAGAACGCAGACAAGATCAAGGTCAAGATCGCAGACCTGGGCAACGCCTGCTGGGTGGTAGGAGACCCTGGGATGGCCTAAGGGAGTGGGCTGCTGGTGCAGCCAGGGTGTCTCCTCCAGAAGAGCTGAGGCCCTTCCGGCCGGCTCCGAAAGTGGCCCATGGCAGGGGCAGTGGGGAAGCAGGGAAGGCGGGGGCGGGGGCGGCTCCCGTCCCCAGGTCTCCCCTTGCCTCCAGCACAAGCACTTCACGGAAGACATCCAGACACGGCAGTACCGGGCCGTGGAGGTGCTGATTGGCGCAGAGTACGGGCCCCCGGCAGACATCTGGAGCACGGCCTGCATGGTAGGTAGGCACCAAGAAGGCACCCAGCTGGGCTGCTCCACACCGGAGGCTTCTCACCTCTCCTCTTGCAGGCCTTCGAGCTGGCTACTGGTGACTACCTGTTTGAGCCCCACTCTGGAGAAGACTACAGCCGGGACGAGGGTAGGGAGGCGGGCCGGGGCCAGGGCCGGGGCCAGGGGTGCCTGCCCGAAGCCCATGTGCCCACTTTCCTATGCTGGCACAGACCACATTGCACACATCGTGGAGCTCCTGGGGGACATCCCCCCGGCCTTTGCACTTTCTGGACGCTACTCTCGGGAGTTCTTCAACCGCAGAGGTGGCTGCATGCGAGGGTGACGGTGGGCCAGGCCGGCGCCGGGGACTGGGGGCCAGGCCATGGCCTGACACTGCCCGCCTGCTGGCAGGAGAGCTGCGGCACATCCACAACCTCAAGCACTGGGGCCTGTACGAGGTGCTCATAGAGAAGTATGAGTGGCCGCTGGAGCAGGCCACACAGTTCAGCGCCTTCCTGCTCCCCATGATGGAGTACCTGCCCGAGAAGCGCGCCAGTGCCGCCGCCTGCCTGCAGCACCCATGGCTCAACCCCTAGGCCGGCTGCCGGCCTCGGGCACATGCTCTGCCCACCGGGGGCCTCTGGGTGGGCCTGTGCCCAGGAAAGCGCGCATCTCTCAATAAAACGTGCACTGAACACTGGGCTCCAGGAGCAGGGCCGGGCAGAAGCCACTTTATTCTGTGGTGTTGGGCTCGGGGCTGCAGGACTGGCAGGGGCCACCCTGGGAGGCTTAGGCCTCCACGGCGCGGCCGTTGACGATGCGGATGTGGCGGATGACGTCCTGGATGGCCTGGGACGTGGTGCCCTGGCCTCCAATGTCTGGGGTGTGCATCTGCAGGAGACCAGAAGTGTGGGCGTGTCAGGCCTGCTGCCACCCACCCACCCTCGGGTGGCCTGGGGTTGCCCACTGTCCTGCCTGTAGGTGGTGGGGCCCGGAACTGACCCCAGGAGGGCAGTGGTGCCCCACCCCAGCCCCTCAGGTGCTCACGCAGGCAGGCAAGGGTTGGGGGCAGTGGGGTGGGATGGGGGGGGGGCAAGGAGCCTTACGCTTTCATTGTCCATGGATGCCAGGACGGCTTTGCGGATAGAGGTGGCATAGGAGTGCAGCCTGGAGGAGGGGAGTGACATTGGTGCCAGGCCCGGCGGGCTGGCAGGGACTCGGTGCCAGGCCCCTGGCACCACTTACTTGAGATGGTCCAGCATCATACAGCTGGCAAGCAGCGTGGCTGTGGGGTTAGCGATGTTCTTGTTGGCAATGCTCTTGCCTGTGTTCCTCGTGGCCTGGGAAAAGCAGGACAATTGAGGCTGGGCCAGGTCCAGTGGAGGAACAGCCCTGACAGAGCTCGAGGGAGCCGTGGATTGCAAGGGGAGCCCCGTGGTGTGTGGGCTCAGGGCTGCTTGGGGTGGGGTGGGACCCGCACACTCACCGTCTCAAACACAGCATACACGTGGCCATAGTTGGCCCCAGCCACGAGGCCCGGGCCCCCAACCAGCCCTGCGCAGACGTTGTTGACAATGTTGCCGTAAAGGTTGGGCATCACCATAACGTCAAACTGCTGGGGCCGGGACACGAGCTGCGGGCGAGGGGCACTCAGTGCAAGGGGTCTGGATGCTGGGACTGGAGGCCACGGAGGCCAGCGGTGACTACCTGCATGGTGGTATTGTCCACAATCATGTTCTCAAAGGTGATCTGGGGGTAGCGGGCTGCCACCTCCCTGCAGCACTGGAGGAACAGACCATCGCCCAGCTTCCTAGGGACAGACAGGGGAGACATGGGACTCTGGCTCGGCTGACCACCATAGTCAGTAGAAGCCTGAGCACTGACTCCTAACCTCCCCAATCCGCACACCAGCATGGCCCATCCCTCCTCGCCCACACGTGGATGGTGGTGTAGCCACAGAGCCCATGGGTATGTGCTTGTCGGGTGGCCAGTGTCAGCCCTGAGTCCAAGGGACGTACATGATGTTGGCCTTGTGCACAGCCGTCACCTTCTTGCGCCCGCTCTCCTGGGCCAGCTTGAAGGCATATTCAGCGATGCGCAGGGACTTTGCCTTGGTGATGATCTTCAGGCTCTCCACCACACCTGCCACGCTCTGATGGGCACAGGGAGCTGTGAGGTGTGGCCCATGCACCCAGGACTTCCAGCCCCTCCCCCAGCCCCAGCCCTCTCAGAGAGGTTCCTTGAGGCCGTCTCCAATGCCAGCCCTGGCCGGGCAGCCCTGCTGCATTCACCTCGTGCTCCAGGCTGCTGTACTCGCCCTCTGTGTTTTCCCGCACGATGAGGATGTCCACATCCTTGTGCCGAGTCACCACCCCTGGCAGGCTCTTGCAGTGGATGACATTGGCATAGAGGTCCAGGCTGGTGCTGGGGAAGGACAGAGGAAAAAGCCGCTAGACTCAACAGATAAGCTGGTCAAGGCCACGGCCAGTAGCATAGCCACCCTGGGCCTCGAGGGAGCCTCCTCACGTGCATGGCTCTCACCGGAGGATGTTGTTTCGGGATTTATGGGATGGCGGAAGGTTATGGTTTGTTTCAATGTTGCCTGCAGAACCAAAACAGAACAGGCAGGCTAGACAGGGCCCTCAAGCTCAGCCGAGTTGACCCACCCTGCCTCCTTGCCTGGCGTAGGACATGTGCACCAAAGGCTGCTGCCACTGGAGGACACGCCTTCCTGCAGCCAAATGCCCCACAGGATGCCAGGATGGCCCCCAGCACAAGCTCGTGGCAGCAGACAGGCCGGGGAGTACTTGGCCCATGGCAGGACTAAGTGTTTACCAAATAAATGAACAAATGAAGAACAAAAATGCTGGCAGCTGGCAGGACCCTGAGAACGGCTCAACAGAAAGCACTCACTATTGCTGCCAATAGCCTGGCTGGTCAGGCTGGCACCCGCAAGGTGACCCCAGACTGGGTGACTGCCAAGGCCCCAAACTGAGGTGTCTGTGGGCCTACACAACGGCAGGCAGAAGCACCCGGGAGAGGCCACAGCTTGGCTCCCAAGGAAGGGAAGGAGGGGCCTGGGAGGCCAGGGGGCTGCAGTGGCCAGGGAAAGACCAGAGGGTACCAAACAGAACGGCCTTTCTGGCAGCCCATCACCTTGGAGCCGCCCCTGCTCATAGCCCCATGCAGAGCGCCTTGGGTGAACTCGAAGAACAGTGGAGGCTAAGAAGGGCCAACCCAGCAGGGGCCCACAGAACTGCATCTTGGGGACCCTGCTTTGCAGAGCGAGTGCCACAGAGGGTAGGTGGTGGGAAGGCAGCTGGCACATGGCCAGCACCACCGAGCCTGGGTTCCAGTGCCCACAGCTGCACCCCAGCTCCCACCCATACCCCAAGCACAGGATTCCCTCTGGAGCCAGTAGGCCTCACCCTTCAGGGCCACACGATTCCGCCGGATGGCCATGATGGCATTGCGGATGTCCTCCTCGTCAGCATTGGAGCTCACATGTACCTCTTCGAAGTCCACTGGCACGCATGCGTGCCTGGGGAGAGCAGGTCAGGGAGGCCGGCTGGGACCTCACGCACCTCCTCCAGGAAACTGCCTGGGTTGCCACGGACACAGGCCTCACCCTGCGGCTGCTCCCCTCAACCCAGCTGTGGCTGGAAGGGGACTGTATCCACCAGGCCAGCAGATGAGGACATGCTTGAACCCGGGGGCTCACGGCCTTAGCAGGACAGGCACTGCCTTCTCCACCAGCCCAGCAGGATCAGAGTCCAGGTTTCTAGGGCTTCCTGCTGCTGCCACACCAGGTTCCCAGGGCCTGCTGGCTTCTCCAAGACACCTCACCCCTGGGGAATGAGGGCTCCATACCTGAACACAGACTTCACGTGCAGCATGAGCTCTGGTCCAATGCCATCCCCGGGGATCATGGTCACTGTGTGCCGTCCACCGTACTTAGCCGATGGAGGCTGCAAGGAGGGAGAGGGTGGGGATGAGGCTCTGCGTACCCCTGGAGCTCCCCAGCTCAGCACCTAAAGCCTCAAGCCAGCGCCAATTTTCCCACCTTCACTGATCCCACAACTGGCCAGTATGGAGGTACCAATTTGGGGGTGCCCATCCCAGACAGAGCCATCTGTCTCGGGCACTCTGCGCAGCAGCCCTGCGCCCAGGTGAGCTTGGGTCAGCCCTGAAGCAACTGCAAAGCCCCTACAGCCCACACAGAGGAGGAGGAGAATACTTACGATGGTTTGTTGCTAGAGAGAGGACAGAAAGGAAGAACACACAGGTCAGGCAAGTTCTGAGGAAAAAGGCTGTGACCAGAGGGCTGGGCCTGCTCCCCGGGGAGGGGGACGGGGACAGGGACAAAGACTATCATGCCACCATCTGTCACGACTGAGCGAAGGGAGGAGTCACCTTGGACCCTGACTTGGAGAACACGAGGGCTGCAAGTGAAGAAGCACGGCTGTGCATGCACACAGACCCCTGTGCTCCGCACACACCCCATGGCCCTGCACACCCAGGCAGGTACTCACCGAGGAGATGAGCCTCCGGGGGGCCTCATGGGCACCTAGCACCTGGCAGAGAAAACCGGAATGCCATTTGGTCATCAGGCCCTCAAGTCAAGTTGACAACGGCTGCCCTAGTTTTGGGCAGGGAGGAGAGACGTGGCTGCCCAAGCTCTAGGAGGAAGGAGGGGTGGTCACAGGGCCAGAGTCCCCAAGGGCACCTCACTGTCCCGTGTGCCACCTGGATCTGCAGCCAGCACCTGCCAGTGACCAGGTTTGGGCACCCACAGGCTTATGACAGCAGCTTGCAGAAGGCAGCCTGGACGGCTCCTCCTCCCGGGGCTGAGAGGGGCTCCCAAGGAGCATGCACTGCCTTCTTCCAGCTCAGGACCTCTTTCCGCTGCCTCGCTCCCACCCAGCCCCCTCCTTCCAAGACCCAGCAATGTCAGGCCCAGAGCTGAGATGCAAGGAGCATTTCCTGAGTATACAAATATATCTGAAAACGAAGAAAGAGATTAGGGAGCTCTCAGTCCAACTCCACCATCTGCTACTCTCAAGATGCTTCATGTCATCTGAAAACAATGCAAGACAGGCACCTACTGCCTGTGACAAGAGGCCGCATGGGAACTGGTCATAAGCCCCAGCAGGGCCCCGTCATCCTCCCAGTCCCTGAGGTTTGTTCCCATCAGGTTTCAGCTGTGGCACTGAGCCAGCCTCCAGGACCCACCCCTGGTTGGGCTCAGGGTTGGGCACCCCTGGCCACAGCTGGCACTATTGCTACTCCCACACCTGTTTTCTGTGCCAGATGTTCACAGGGCTCTCACCAAAGTGCCAAGAGCTCTCCAAATAGGGATTTCCCTGCCCCTGTGCTGCACAGGTTATGAAGGCTTTGTTGCCTCAGGAAGCCACTGAACAAGCTGCCCGGAGTACAGCAAGCTGGGATACGCACAGGCCTATGCGTCTGTCACCCTTTGGCACTTCCCCAAAAAGTCATGGGTCCTGGGTGGCACATGCTCCTACTAGAGGGCTGGACACTACATGTCCTACTAAAACTTCTAACTGAGGCTTCTGCTGCATCATGTGCTTCCCCAGGCGGTCCCAGCAAGTGAAATAGAAAATTTGGCATTCCTTTAGAGTAGGCCTCTTTTTTTTTTTTTTTGTACCGGGAATCAAACTCAGGACCTGGCACTCCTTTAGAAGGGTTTCCACACCCAGAACAGCCAGGCTCAGGGCAAGGCTCTTCATGGCCACCAACTTTTCTCTAACCGCACCCCTACCCCGCAAGCGAGCACACAGGCATATGAGCACACAGGGGTGTGGGAAGTTAGGGGGGTTGACAGATGTCGTCCAGGGCCTACAGAAGCCTAGTTTTGGGAGCCTCCAGTGCTCCTGGAGATTCTCTACAGTATGTGATGTGCCCTCTCACAAGCAATGGGGGAAAAGCCAGCAAGTTACTTTTTTTTTTTTTAACTTTTGTTGTTTGTTTCCTGGCCTTGAACTCACTATGCAGTCCAGGCTGGTCTTGAACTGGCAGTGATTCTCCTGCCTCAGCCTGCCAAGTGTTGGTATTACAGGTGTGTGCCACCACACCGGGTTTGAGACTAGCATCTTAAAGAAAACTGTAAAAAGCCTTAACAATCTTTCCCAGAGGACAGAAGAGTTATACATGAGAGTAGAAAGGTCCCCAGGAAGCATCAACAGAATCACGGGGTTCTGGATGGCCATGCTGGCAGGATCCTTTGAGAAGTCCCCATCCCTCTGTCTGGACAGAGAGAAAAGGGAACCCAGAGAGAGGAAGGGACTGGCCTGAGGCCAAGCCACTAGTGGAGTGGTGGGGAAGCAATCGCACAGGGCCTGTCTCATCCCCAGGTAAACTGTTGTTAACGGGACCGCCTGCCTCGTTCTAAGCTCGAGTAAGAATCGAACTGAATGATCTAAACCCGGTTCTAAAATGAGAGCCGAGGAAGCAAGTCCCCGCAACCTCCAGGCCCCATCAGCTCCTCCCCAACCCAGGTGCTTGGGGAGGAGGAATCCGGTAATCTAAGAATGAGGGGCGATCGAGGTGACCGGAAAAGTCCGACTCTCCCACCTCCAGGACAGGTTGCGAAGTGCTCTACTACCACAGAGAAACTCGAAGAGGAACGGAAAACCACAATGGGCTGCCCAAGGCAGGCCGGGACACGCGATGGCTCAGGAGAGCTCCCACAAGGACACGAAGGAAGTGACACGAGCCGCGGCATCTCAGCTTCCCAGCCAGTCCTGAGCCTCCGCCCCCAGACAGGGACCCTAGGAACAACCAGTTCTGGGCCAACTTCGGTCAATGCGATGACAGCAGAGGCGGCCAATGAGCTCCGGCGCGCGGGCCTCTGCCCGCCCCATCGGCATCCCGCAGCCAATCCAACACCAGGCCGCTCAGAACCGCAGCACCTTCCCGGCCCCAATGGGGTGCGAGGCCCCCCAACGAGCTCTGCGGTTATCCGGTAGTCGGCCCGCCACTCACCTCCCAAGGACGGAAGAGAAGGACTGGCCTGAGCACGGCCTTCGCAGCGCCGGCGGCAGCCGTCGTCACCTTCAGCGCCATGGCGGAGACAGCCGCTAAGGGTGTAGACACTGTTCTCGCGAGAGCCAACTGGACGAGATAGTGTGTGCGGGGGGGGGGGGGCTCCCGGCCTCGCACTGCGCATGCGCGCGGCCGGCCGGTTCCCACGCCCCCTTCCGGCGCCTGAGCAAGGCAGCCGCTGTGCCCGCCATGTTGGGCGGCCAGCTCCAGGAGGGGACACGTCAGTATCGCTGGTGACGTTATAGGTCCCGAACGGGCCCGCAGGCGTGCGATTGGCTGTAGCGGCACTGACGCGTCGCGATTCCTCGCCTACCGGGCACGTTCCTGGGAGTGCGTTCTCTTTTCCGCTTGGCAGAGAACCGAGAATGGCGGCGACGGCGTCTCTTGGCGTCCTGGCGCTGCTCCTGCTGTGCGGCCTGACTTGCTGCTCAGGTAGCGGCCTGGTGAGGGCGTATGGCAGGCGAGCCTCTGTCTCACGGCAGTGGCACCGGGGGAAAAGAGGGTGCGGGCCAAGCGGGAGTCTGGGCCTTTCTCCGAGGGGCGGCCACCGAAGCACCCCCACACACGGCGATCTGGCAGGCCGGCTTCTGGAAGCGACACCCGCACCTTTCCCTGATATGCACTGTGCTCGCTGCCATCCCCTCCAGCGGGAAGGTGACTTCTCAGAGGGATCGTCGCCGAGCAGCGGCGATGACAAACAGGCTTGGCAGTCGGGAGCTGGCTGCGCGGTGCAGTGCAAGCTGGGGCTCCCCAGGAAGGGGAGAGCTAAGTGACACATTGCCCAGCTCGTCCAGGCAGAGGGCCAGCGTGCAGGAGCAGGGGGCGACTTAGGAAGTTGGCTAGTGAGCAGGGGCTTCGAGTGCCGGGCCAAAGACTTGGGTTTCCCTGAGGCCTTGGCGGATCCGTCCAGAGCTCTTGGCAGAGCTGAGCCGAAGGGTCCTCCATTTGCATTTACCAGGGATGCCTAACACTTGGGGGCCAGAGGCTGGGGTTGTCACCCAGCTGTGTCAATGCTGGGGGACTGGGCTGGGCAGAAAATGACTTCTGCATGCGCACTTTCCCTGGGCACTTCCTGCCTGATCCTTCCCACCTGCCCCGGGGAGAATTCTCCAGGCAGGAACAGAGGTGTCCTAAGAGGACAAGCTTGGCTGGCAAACTTGTCCATAGGACAAAGGCCAGCTTGGCAGAGCCTAGAGGGGCCTGTGGCATCTGACCTCTTAGAGCCACGCCCTGCCCCACTTCCCACGCCTGTGTGCCACCATCCAGACCCAGAGCCATCCTTCTCTGGGACATCACATTGGGCAAGCACTCAATGAGCACTTTTTCACCAGAGCATGTCAGTTTCATGCCTCTGCAAGTGTGGTGCTGGCTCAGGCTGGGTGCTCGTGCTTGCAATGCCTCCTGTCCACAGTTGTGCGTCTCTCGAAAGCCACCACCTGCTTCCCTTGGTAAACCCTGAGGCCAGGCCTGGTCCCCTGTCAGCTGGCTGGGGACAGAGCCTTTTCCCCATCTTGAAAGCGCCTGGGCACTGCCGGCACCCCCTTGGTGTCTCTACCAAAGATGCCCTCAGCCGCTTGGGCATTGCCTGGCTATAGATGAAGGTCACAAGGCCAGGGACCCACACATATGTGGACTCCCATACACCCACTTCCTCCTTGTTCACCCTTGTGTCAAGCTCTGCCTTTGCAGTACCTTCACTGTCCCATTTTCATGGCTGTCACTCCTCTTTCCCTATCTTCTGTACCCTGGGATTGGGCCTGAGTTCCCCAGCAGGGAACAAGGACCCACGGGTCCTCCGCTGGCCAGGTCTGGGCTCAGCACACCCAAGTGCCACCTACTCCCACAGCAGAGGCCTGCATGGAGCCCCAGATCACCCCCTCCTACTACACCACCTCGGATGCCGTCATTTCTACGGAAACAGTCTTCATCGTGGAAATCTTGCTGATGTGCAAGAACAGGGTCCAGGTGCGCCTCGGAGGGGCGGGGAGTGGTGCTGCTCCTTGTCAGTTGATAATACCCAGAGGAGAATGGGATTCCAATTCAGAGGTTCGGGAGAGAGCGGATCCTAGCAAATACCTCATTGGCATTCTTTTTTTGTTGTGTTTTGGTTTTTTGAAACAGGGTCTCGATATATAGCCCAGGCTGGCCTTAAACTCATGGCAGTCCTCCTGCCTCAGCCTCCAGAGTTCTGGAATGACAGAGGTGTGCCACCACACTCAGCTTCACAAGTATTTTCTTGAGCTTGACATGCGGTACCTGTGTGCAGGATGCTGAGTGGACACCCCACTGTTTGCCAGTGAACATCTGGAACTGAAAGAGCCATGCTCAGCCCCCCAAGTCGTTCCATCTCTTTTTTAGTTGTTGTTTGTGGGAATATTTGTTGGTGTGTGCTAAATTCCAGATTGAGAAGCCCTGGCCAGGCATTGTGACACACCTGTCATTCCAGCACTTGGGAGGTCAAGGCAGGAGGGTCAAGGAGTGTGAGGCCAGCCTGTAACCCTGGCTACATAGCACAGATAAAATCAAGATTGAGGGTTCTGTAGCCAGGCAAGGTGGTGCACGCCCGTAATCCCCTGGGAGGCTGAGGCAAGAGAATCGCAGTGAGTTCAAGGCCAGCCTGGATTACATAAGCAAGATGCTGTCAAAAAAAAAAAAAAGATTCAGAATCCAGGCTTAGACTCAGGCCTTTATTCCCTGAAGTCCAAAGAAGGAAGTTGGGTCCCACAGTTCTTGGGTTAAACACCCCTTGGGCAACCTGTGTGGCACCTGCAACCCCAGGTCCTCGCTTGGAAGCTCCAGGCATGACGGAGACATTTCTGACCAGCCACCTCTGTGCAGTCAACAGGCTTGCCATGGGCGAGGGGGCCCCTGCTAGACACTGTGGCCCCTGCCAGTCATTGTCCCACTGCTTGTAGTCTGGACATGCCGCAGGGGAGTGACAGTGACTTGCCCTTTGTCCCCTCAGCAGAACATGGCTCTTTATGCTGATGTCAGTGGAAAGCAGTTCCCTGTCACCCGGGGCCAGGATGTGGGCCGCTATCAGGTGAGAGGCCAAGTCCGAGGCTAGGGGAAGCTGCCTGCGCATGAAGGGGACCTGAAGCAGGGCTGGGGCAGGGGTTGCAGCATGTATCCACTGCGCCCACCCAGGTATCCTGGAGCATGGACCACAAGAGCGCCCATGCGGGCACCTACGAGGTCAGATTCTTCGACGAGGAGTCCTACAGCCTCCTGAGGAAGGCGAGTGTGGCCTGAGCCCCACTTCTGCTGTCCCCCCACCCCTGTTCCTCCCGGGGCCCATGCCCCCAGCACCCCTGACCCAGCCCTTCCCATGCAGGCACAGAGAAACAATGAGGACATCTCCGCCATCCCATCGCTCTTCACGGTCAGCGTGGACCATCGGGTGAGCAGCATGGGGGGGCGGCCCATAGCTCTACCACGTTTGTTTTGTAGCCCTGGGGATCAAACATGGGGCTTTTGTACTGAGCTGTGTCCCCATTTTTTTTTGTTTTTCTATTTGGAGACAAGGTCTTGTTAGGTGGCCCAGACTGACCTCAAGTTTATGATCCTCCTGCCTCAGCCTCCCAGGATGTTAGGGTTTCAGGCATGTGTCTTCTCACCCAGCTTAGCCAGCATGCCTCCGTGCCCCCAGAGGGTGGGCGACAGACTGGTGCTTGCCTCTGAAGCAGCTTTTGGTTCCTTTTCTTTCAGGGCACCTGGAATGGGCCCTGGGTCTCTACAGAGGTGCTGGCTGCAGTCATTGGCCTCATCGTCTACTACCTGGCCTTCAGCGCCAAGAGCAACATCCAGTCCTGACGGGGGCCCAGCCTCCCTTGCTTCTTTCAATAAATAGCGTTCAGCTGGCACGACTGCCCTTCTGTCTCGGAAGCGGAAGCACTGGGAGGCAGCGTGGCCTCGTGGCCTGCGCGGAGGAGTGCTGTGTGGGCCCCATCTAGCCATGTCCCCTCCGCCTCCCTGGCTGCCATCCCCTCTGTCCCGGCACATGTCCTGCCCTCAGCAGGTCCCTGGGCAGGGTCGGGTGCCTATGCGGTGTCCTGTTGGGGCTGGGTCCTGTGACCACACATGCTGTCGGGGTGGCGCTTACCTCAGCCGGCAGTGTTTATGAACATTGGGCTGAGAGCTGCGCATGAATACTCAGCCTGCTGAGCAGAGGCACCAGCTGCTGCCTGTGCCCTGGGGCCCCTTATCAGGCTGGGCACAGAACATTTGGGAAACAGATGTCTTGCACTTGAGAGCCCCATTTCCGCCTAGGGATTACTGTGCCATGGGCACCTGCCACGAGCACAGTGGGTACACGGCACAGGCCAGGCACCAGCCACTTCATGCCATAGGTGACCAGTGGTATAGCGAGAAGCCTGACATCCATGGGGCTGTGTGCAAGTCCCAGCTGTGGTGATGACAACTGTGCTCATGCCAGGGTGTTGGGAGAGGGCCTCAGGGCCACCTGAGCACATGATCCTGGAGGAAGGGGCTTTGGGGGAGCTGGCTGACCTGGGAACCTACCAGGATCTGCCTACCAACCGGCTGGAGGAGGGGGCACAGCTGCTCCCCCTGGCTACTGCCAGGGCAGGAGCATGGGCAGGTGTTGCCACCCACTGCTCTCCAGTGCGGGCTCCAGCCCTCCTGGTGCCACTCACCTGAGCTAGCCAAGGGTCCAGCTCAGGACAGGCAGTGCTGGTCTCTGCTAGAAAGCATGTGGGCCAAGTGTCCTGGGCACAACTGCCCAGTAACAGGCTCTGCTTTCCTCCTGGAGCCAACCAGGGTGACAGGCAACACTGGGACTGCACCCTTGTGACCTGGCAGCAGGCTCAACTTCCAAGAATGGGTCTTGGGGGCTGGAGATTTAGCTCAGCGGCATAAGCGCCTGCCTTGCAAGTGTGCAGTTGTGAGTTTGCTCCCTGGTACCAATAAAAGGAAAAAGACAAAAGAAAAGAATGGGTCTTGGGATTTCCGCCTGTGCCTATCTGGTCCATCACTGACTTGCTCCTTGGAGCTCAGTGTTTAACAATTCTTTTGAGTGTTTGGTTGTTAAGGGTTTTATTTTTGAGACAGGGCTTTACTATGCAGTTTAGGCTGGCCTCAAACTCACAGCAATCCTCCTGCTTCCACCTCCTGAGTGCCAGCATGACAGGTGTGCGCCACCACATTTGGGAACAGCTCTTGCTCCAGCATGACAGCATGTTGAGAGTGAACACTGAGGCTATGATGCAGTCAGTAGAAAGGCAGCTTGCTTTATTGAGATGCAGGTGGGACGGGGGTGTGGCAGCTGTCTGCCTCCAAGCACAGGGCACCGCGCAGGCAGCATGGTTGCAGATCGCGACACCCGAAGAGGCTGGGGCTTCTCCCACCTGCCTGCCACCAACTCCTCTCCAGGCTGAGCAGCCTGAGGGCTTTCACTGTCACTCATGGGGCTTGGCTTCTCATCCCCCTCACATCTAAGTGGTCCAGTCCCAGATGGCCCTGGGCACAGACCCAGGGGCAGTGACTTCTCGGATGGACACCGGCCCTCTGTCCCCACAGTCTCGCTTTCCTTCGTGCACTGGGGAAGTAGGCGGCCCCCAGGAGTCCAGGCTCTGTCCTCAGGCAGCTGCTTCCCATTCCTCCCGCCCCCTCCCCCTCCCTCCCTCCACTCCCCCCCACTCCTTCCCTGCCAGCAAGCAGGGCTCCACCTCTACCCCTCCGCCAGGTGCCCGCCCACAGCAGGGCCACGAAACAGAAAAACAACTATTGGCAAGCACAGAAAGGGAGAAAAACCACAAAAACCAGGGTGCCTTTGTCTACGAATCACTGCAGCTCCGGCTCCAAGTGGGACGCGAAGCTGGATGCTCTCTTGTGCTCATTCCTCGGCACCTCCTCGCCCCGGCTCCCCTCCCCCCAGGGACTCGGCCTCTCCCACAAGCCCTCCAGGCTGGCTGTCGCCTGGGTGTGTTACTTGGGGAGAAGGAAGTAGGCCATGCGAAAAGAGCGTCTCTTCTCTTCCCCGCACACAGGACAGGCAGGAGGGCGGGACGCGGCGCACGCACGCCAGGCTGGAAGGGAAGCGGGGTGGCTCACACAGTGGTGACCGACAGCAGGGGGTTGTAGACCCGCTTGCCGTCCGCAGAGCGTGCACCGTGGGCCAGCATCTCCTGGATGGTAATCCAGTTGTCCAGGATCTTCTTGTTCCGCTTCTTCATGGTCTTGCGGTGGCTCAGAGCGATGATGTTGAGCTCGGGCTTGCTGTCGCCGCTCTGCTGCTCGCGCAGGCACTCCAGCCGGCTCTGCATCATGAACTCGCGGCGCTTCCGCTGCTCGCGTGCTCGAATCAGGTGCTGCTTGCGCTCCTCCTTGCTCCAGTAGCGGCCCATCTTCATTTCGCTCACCGCGTCGTCATCGGTGGTCATGCCGCTGCGTTCCTCCCGGATCTTCAGGGCCCGGGCCTTCAGCAGCCGGTCGCGCACGGGCCTCTTGGCCACATAGCGAGTGCCGTCACTGCGCACCTTCACCTTCCACTCCATGCGGGGCGCCTCTGCCGCAGCCGCCACGCTGCCCACCCGGGGGCTGCCGGCCAGGCCTAGGGCACCGTGGCTCAGCTCCTCCAAGGTGCGTGGCGGGGCCAGCTGCACACAGCTATGGTAGTGCTCACCCTCCTGGCCCTGGCCACGGTGGCGGCGCGACAGGTAAGGGCTGCCTTCGGGACCCATCCGCTCCACGGCCACACCGGTCTTGGGGCCTCGGCGGATGCGTTCCTCCGCGTGCTGCCTCCGGCCTGCCTCAGAGTCCCGGGAGAGGGACCGGAACTTGGCAGGGCTGCCAGGCACAGTGGTAGCCTTGGGGGGACTAGTGATGGGGACACCGGGAAGGGTGCGGTTCAAATTGGAGTTGCCGGCAGCAGTGGTGACAGCCCGCTTCAGAGGGCTCTCAGGCAGGGGCTCCGCAAGCAGTGGGGTGCTGCGGCAGCTCTCCCCCGTGTTGTAGGCGCTGGTGCTGTCCTTATCGGACTTCTCAGGCAGCTCGGAGATGTCTGACAGCTCATGCTTCTTGGGCTCGCCGGCCGCCAGGTCGTATAGGCTCTCCTCCTCCAGCAGCCAGGCCTTCATGCACCGCTCCCGCAGCTGCTGCATCTTCTGCGCGCGCAGGATGTTGCGGCACTTGAACTCCAAATGCCTCAGCTCCTCCTCCAGCATGGCCATCTCGTGGCCCAGGCTCTCATTGCGGTTGACGTCCAGGGCACTGTTGGCTGCCGAGGCCCGAGCAAAGAGCAGGCCCAGCTGGTTGCCGTTCTCCAGGTGGCACTTGATCTCTAACAGCTCCCGGTAACGCTCATACTCCTCATCGGTGAGGCCAGGAACATCCCCCGCACCCAGCCCTGCACCCTCTGCCAACAGCGAGTCCATGCTGAAGTGCAAATCCCCTTGCAAGCCGAACTTGCGCAGGGTCCCAGGGGTGTTGGTGGCACTGAGGGGCTCATCACCCAGAAGGTCGTGCTCCGAGCTCTCTTCGTTGCGTGTGCTCTCGTCGGTCCGGCCCACCCCGCTGTCCAGCTCCTGGCTGTTGCTCAGGCCTGGGCCTGCTTCCGGGGCCCCCTTGTCCTCTTCATTTCCCGGCTGGAGCAGAAAGAGAGGCACATTCAGGGGCTGTTGCGAGAGGGTGGGTCACTGAGGGTCCTGGGGCACAGAGATGCTGCCCGCCCCACCCTTTCCTCATGTCCTCACCTGCTGGGCAGGGGGCACCTTCAGCTTCCGAGCACACAGGTCTTCCTCATTCCCAGAGCCAAAGTCATCCAGGAAGTCATCCCGGTCACTGTCTTTCCACCGCTTTGCCAGCTGTGCACATAGGTTCAAGTCATCCCTGTGGCTGCCAGGACCTCCCCTCAGCAAGCCCTGTGGTCCCATGGCTGCTACTGCCACACTCTTGGGGATAGGACACAACCCAGGAGAGGGGATCCTGGCCCACTTGGCTGTCAGAGGCTGCGACCCCCGGCACAGACCCCACCTATTCCAGTTTGTCACAGAAAAGCCCCAGGCCAGGCTGCCCTGCCAGGCGAGCACACACACCTGGCTCTCAGGCCGCGCCACCAGCAGGGAGATGTTAGTGTTCTCCTCCTGGCTCAGGATTGCCACCGCCTCTTCTCGGTTCTGGACATCCATGCCATTAATCTGGGACAGGCCAGGGGAAATCAAAGGACGTGGGCTACGGCAGCCCTGGAGGTGGGCACTGGCTGGCACGGCCAGGCTCCTGAACCCCGGGCTGGTGTGAATAGGCAAAAGGGGCCCAGGACAGGAGGGAAAGGAGGGTGGGGAGGTGCCTGCAGATCCCACGGGAGCAGGCTAGCTACCAGGGGCGGGCCAGGCCTCAGTAGGCATGGCCCTGGAGGGTCAGGTCAAGAGGCAGGACTCACCTGGATGATGCGGTCCCCTTCTCGGATCCGGCCATCTTTGGCTGCAATGCTGTTGGGATTCACCTGAAGGACACATATGTGTCACAGACCTGGCTCCTGACACCAGAAAGGGCGGCCTCATCTCCTGGCCTGCCAAGCAAACCGGAGGTGCCCTCTCACTCGAGCCACAACTCTGGAAAGCCAGGCAGGGGTGCCAGGTACTCCTTTGCATGTGGGCCTATTCTTTTCTGCCAGGGGCTGAGCCAAAAACATGAACCTGGGGGCTGGATGGGCAGTGGGTCACTTCCATTGGAAAGGTCAGCTCTACCAGGATGCCACTAGTGCAGATCTAGGCATGGAGGCACACATCTGTCACTCCAGCCTCTTCAAGGTGAGACCCTGTCTCACAACAATAGTACAAAGGGTATCACTAGTAAAGGGGCACTAAGGAGCTGAGTGCCCTCCTGTCCATACACAGATGTCAGCCCCTGCCAGCTCTTGGGGGTTGACCAGGCTAGGGGAGAGAACCAGTGCCTGGGGACAGGTCGCTGGACACGCCAAAGCTGCCAGTTGCCCCAGCCTGGCCATGCCATGGCCCCCATACCTCTCCAACATAGATGCCCAGGTCCTCTTCGTCGTCCGTGCGATAGCACACCATCAGGCCCAGCTTGTCCCGGTGGCTGCTCTTACAAAGTTCCACCTCCTGCGCGAGGGCGGAGGAAGCAGAGGTAGAAAGGCCTGGCCCTGACCCCCAAGGCCTTACGGTCACCTGAGCTGATGGTCCAGTCCCTGGCCGCGAGGGCTCCCTTCTCTTACCAGCCCAAGTGGTGTGTGTTTGGGGATATCCCCCTACCAGGAAGTGCCCAGGGCACACAGGACGCACAGCACACACAGACACATAGGACGCGTGGCACACAGACATGCAGGGACACAGACTCACCAACAGAGATGGCACTTGCCAACTTGCCCGCACCCTCCCCGATTCAGCCAGATGTACATGGTGAAGGGCAGCAGGAGCCTGGCTGAGCTCACCTCGTACTCCAGCTCGTCCATGCGGTCTACCTCCTGGGGGCTGCCCTCCATAAACTCCGCCGGGTCATAATACTCATGGCTGATGGGAGTGCTGCCCAGGAGAAGGTGGGCGTCAGACAGGCCGGCCGCTCCCTGCACCCCAGAGCCCAGTCCCTGTACAGAGCCCTGCCCTAGGTGTGCTCTGCAGATGGGGGAAGGTGGCCATGTCTCCTCCAGAAGTCCCTGTTCCTGAGCCTTGTGCATCCGTGAGCCCAAATCCCAGCTCTCCCCACTCCTCCCCGCACCGGGACTGACTTCTCCAGAGCTCCAGGGGCCTCCACCGCCCCCAGCACCGGCCCATACATGCAAAGCCCCCAGGAGTTACCCAGGCCCCAGGCCAGGTGCCGAACAGATGGACACCCCTCCACCTGCAGGGGGCAGACTGCTGTCCTTCTCTTATCCCCAGGTGGCTCAAGAGAGGCCCAGAGATGGAAGGGACCCAGAGCAGGTGAAGGAATGGGGTGGGGATGACACAAGATTTGGGAGCGAGGCCTGTTAGGGGCAGAGGCCATGGATGGGCGGCAGAGAAAGAGGATGCAGAAGCAGCGAGGTCCCCCAGCCAGCCACATGAGGCCAAGGCTGGAGGCCTGGTGGTGCCTGAGCCCAAGCCAAGCAAGCCAAGCTGGGTCCTGGCAGACGCCAGAGCCGCGGGCACATCCTCTCTGGAGCAGGCCTGGGGCCCTCCTGAGGGCAACTCACAGCTCAGACAGGACGTACGGCTCCAGGATGCCTGCGGGTGGGGTGGGCGGCCGCAGCTTGCCCAGTGCCATGATGTGCTCAAAGGTGATGTCGGTCTGAGTGCCACTGTCCACCAGCTGAAGGTCATGGCAAGAGCTGTCCCCCCGCAGGCGGGGGCTGCGTCTCAGCACCTGGATGACCAGGGGCTCCTTGGACGTGCGAAGGGCCTCCAGTGTCTGCTCCTGAGACAGCTTGGAGAGCTCCTTCCCATTCACCTGCGGCAGAGACATGCCTGGTGAGGGCCCTCGGAGTGCCTGCTGGCGGGGCATCTGTGGCCAGGGGTCCGCTCCACCTTGGGCAGCCCTGGCCATCCTGAGAGCTGCCTGGGCCTCGCCATGCCCTGCTGCAGGAAGTGAGCCAGTGTCTGGGCATTGGTGAGAGCCAGAGCTTCCTTCAGCAGGAGCCGTTGTGGCCATCCTATCCTCTCCCACAAGGACCTACTTCTCTTTTGGGCAGCACTGAGGCCACGAGCCGTGGCAGGGGACAAGCTTGACATCCCTCACAATGGGTCAGTCTCAGCAGATACCGTGCACCAGGATGCGGAAGGAAGGAGGGCCAGCAGGGACAAGAGTGACAAGCTGCACAGTACAGTGCACAGTGGCACACTCCCGACACCTCCGAACTCTGGAGGCTGAGGCAGGAGGATCTTTCTAAGGGCAAGGACAGCCTGAGCTACACAGCAAGACTCTGTCTTGAAAAACCAAAAAAAAAAAAAAAAAAAAAGAAAGGAAAAAACAAAACAAACTGCATAGTGAATCGGTCTGTCCTCGGGGCCTTCGATGGAGGTGCAAGATGTGGCGCGCAGCCCCCAGAGCAGTGGCTGGAGCCCGTTGGTAAAGATGACCATTGCCAACAATGCAAGTGTAGAGACGCAATGACTTTGCTACGTGTGACCACCCCCGGTCACGCACGGGAAGCGAGTCCGGGTCTCTGGGCAAGAACGTAGCTGGGGGTAGAACCCTTTCCCAGCACACGTGACACCCGGGGTTGGACCCTCTGCACTGTGAGACAAAACAAAAGACAGGGTTTCCCCACAGCCTAGGTTAGCCTCAAACTCCCTAATCACCCAGGCTAGGCCCTGCCTTGCCCTGCAGCATGGTGGGCTGGCAGGTGTCACCACCACACCCTGCCGGGAATGAACACGTGGTGTGCCAGGCTGCCACACTGCCTTGAATGGCAGCATGGAGAAGGAGGGATGTTCCCACGCTTGGGTGCAGAGGGGCACCACGCTCCCCAGCAGGCAGGCAGGGCACCCACAGAGGTGGGACTCGGGACACTGGCGCTTAGGAGGCGGAATTGCAAGGATGCATTTTCCCCTGAAATCGTTACCCAGCGGTAGCATTGCCATTGGAAACCCGGGGAGGCCCTGGAAGAGTGCAGCTCAAGTTGGTGGGGGCTGGGCGCCATGAATCAGGGGCCATCGGCAGATGGTGGTGACAGTGACGATGGCAATGGTGGCCCGGTGGGCACACTGGGCTAAACAAGCTCTGTGCACAGGCAGCCCTGGTATGGAAACCTGGAGCCCCTTTAGCCTTCCCTCTTTCCTTACAGGTCTCTGTGGGCCCCAGTAGCTAAAGAGGACGTCCCAGGAGACAGAAACCAGCTGTGACAAGGTAGAAGGCGGCCCTGTGGGGAAGGGGTGGGCTGTGACACACTGGCGAAAAGTGAAGCACTGAGCCAAAAGTTGGGGCCAGGGACTGGGCAAAGCGATGGTGAGACCCTTGTCCCCCGTCCCCACTGGAGCTCCACTGCCATCCCGCACTGTCAGGAAGCTCTGCACAGAAACGTTCCCACCCTTCACATTGCTCCTCCTGCTGCCTCTGAAACCAGGCCAGGCCAGGGGTGTAGGCCAGAGGCGAAACACTTGCCTAGCAACCACAAGCTGCTGGCACCACCCCAGCACCTCGGAACAAACATCTACGGGGACCAGGCCGGATAGCACACACCTGTGACCCCAGTACTCAGGAAGCTGAGACAGGAGAACTGCCTCTAGTTCAAGGCCAGCCTGGGCTACAGAACCAGACGCTGTCTCAAAAAACAAAGCAAAACAAATGAAAGCTTCCCACCCCAGGGCTGGGGCCTACAGACTCTGTGACAGTCTGGAAAGTTCCACCCTGCCATTCCACAAGAACTGCAGGTCTCTGGGGGACCAGGACAGACCCTCCCGCCGCCGTGTGGACATAGAGAAGAGACACCAAACGGGACATCAGGTGGACAGCCATCCAACAGGAACCAGGTGCGGGTTTGGGCACGACCCTGGCCACATAGCTCTGAAATGGAACACAAAGGGGATGCTGGCTGAGGTGGCCCATACTGGTCCAGCGCTGGGCACTGTGACAATGCCACACTGGCCTTCTGTGACCTCGCCTGATGGAGACACACGGGACCTCCCTTCCACTCTAGATGCATTCCTACAGGGAAGGGCATGGGGCAGGCAGATCTGGGTGACAGTGGAGTATCTTCTGGGTGCCTTCTATCCCCTTGGCCTCCCCAGTAGACTCAGTGACACCTGTGTCCAGTGTCCCATGTCCCTCCGGCATGGCTACCCTACTCCGTCTCTCCTTGCCCCTTCTTCTCCCCATAACTCACTGTCCCTTGGTCTCATGTGGGACCTTCCTGTCACTTCCCACCCTTCTTCCTGAAACTAATGTGACATTGTTACCCATGGTAACTGTCTGTTGTCCAAAGGAAGATGGGCAGGCCTTGCCCCCTGTGAGGGCTGTGCACCCTCAAAGCCAAGTAGCCCATCTTAGTTACTTTACTTTCTTCGTAGTTGAGACAAAATACCCAACACCCACAGTTTTAGGAGGAAAGATTTCTTTAGCTCACAGTCTGCAGAGGTTTCAGGCCATCATCAGCTGGCTCTGAGGCAGGGTGGCCTGGCACAGGAACATCACCAAGGAGAAACAGTCTGTGGTGGGCAGGAAGTAGCAAAACAACGTCTTTCTGCCCCTTTTATCCATATGTCATGTCTAGATGTCCCCCTAAGCCTCATGTGCTCATAGGTGGGGCTTTTTCAGAGGCGGCTGGATCTGGGGCATGTGATGCTGGGATTGATTTGCTGTGCACTGTGAGGATTAAGGGCGCCAGGGTTAAGGGTGTGAGTGCTGCCTGCCCTAAATCACCTGGATAAAATCTAAGGGACAGAAGGAGCTGTGGTCATCCCTTGCTTGCTTGCTGCTACTGCCTTCCACCTGCCACAAGCTGTTTCTCCTCTGCGATGCCCCTCAGCTGTGCCACCCCGCCTTGGAGCCAGCCGGCCATGGCCTGAAACCTCTGCAAACCATGAGCTAAACAAATCTCTCCTCCTTTAACTGTGGGTGTTGCGTATTTCGTCTCAGCAATGAGAAACGTAACAAAGACAAGACTAAAGTGCTTGCAATGGTCTGGGACCAAGCAGAGAGGTCCCCAAGGGAAGGACCCCTGGCTGCTTTCCCTGGTGTGTGTCTGGGGTAGGGACAGAGTGCCACTTGCCACCTGGCCCATCATCTGAAAGTCTTGTTAAAAGGTTCTCCTGCAGGCCTAAAGCCACCTCCTTCGGGACAGTGGGGACTATAAAACAGGCCACCTCACCTGTTGGATGGCCCACCTCCTGGATATAGCTCACAGCTCGTTTCTCTTGACACGGGGGAGAGGACAGCCACCTGAGGTAAGCCTCGGGCTTCTCCAGCCACTGACCCCTCATCTTGCCCACAACGCAGGCGTTCAAAGCACCACACTGAGGAGATTAAATCAAAAGGCCCGGGGGATTGTCACCAGCTAGGCTGCCCCCGTCCTGACTGGGGACTCTGTCCCCAGCACACTTGAATTTGGAGTTCTTGGCTGTCACCTCGGGTCCTTGCCTTAGCATAGCCCCTCTGCCTGGATGTGATCCGATTGGTCCTCACGCTGTGCAGGGACCCTGTGTCGCCCTAATGCAGACCCAGGCTCCAAGATCCCCAAAAGAGGAGCCTCCTCATCAGCCCCCAACCAGCCCAGCCTCCTTTCCCAATCTTACTTCATCTTGTTTTTGTTTTGTTTTGAGTCAGGCAGGGTCTTGCTATGTTGTCCAGGTTGGCCTCCAATCCACAGAGCTCCTCCTGCCCCAGCCTCCCTCGTGCTAGGTTGACGGGTACACACACACACACCACCATCCCTGGCTTATTTCATTTTATTGTTGTTTCCATACTGGGAATCAAACCGAGGGGCACACTACCACGCACTACATCTCCAGCTCTTTAGTGTTTATTTTGAGATAGGTGCTTGCTAAGTTGCCCAGTCAGGACTTAAATTCATAATTGTCCTGCCTCAGCCTCCCTAAATGCTGGGATTACAGCCGAGCAGCACTGAGCCTAGCTCCAAGTCTTACCCAAGCACGAAATGGCCACCTTTCTGCAAAGCCACCTGTCACTAACTCTAAAGACCCTTGGAAAGGCTCACCAGACCCTTTATTTCCGTAACTTTACCCAAAATGACAGTGACAGCAGGTGCTGATCTGAGCTTCTGGCAAGGGTGTCAGTGCGGCAGGACACACCTCATATGGCAGGAACTACTTCTAAGTATCCAGGTGCCGCCATCCCCACTAACTACACGTTTATATGCCCCAAAGAGACCCCGTTACAAATAAACAACAGTGAAACTTAATGTGATGGCACACCTGTCAGCTCAGCTCTCGGGAGGCTGAGGCAGGAGGCTCACCATGCGTTTAAGGCCAACCCAGAGCAAGAGTTTGGGGCCAGTCTGGAATACATACATTTTTGAGACTGTCTCAAAAAACCAAACCAAACAAAAAGGATGTTGTAGGGCTAGGGTACAGCTCAGTCTAGCGCGCTAGCCCAGTCTGCGAGTGTGTGTGTGCTTGCGCGTGCGCGTGTGTATGGCCAGAAAGAAACTGGGAATGAATATGTGACATCACTGTGAGCCAGCTGTGGCAGTGCACACCGTAATCCCAGCACTCAGGAGGCTGAGGCAGGAGGATAAACCGGAGTTTGAGGCCAGGCTGGGCTACATAGTGAGTTCAAAGCTGATCTGAACTACATAATGAGACCTTGCCTCATTAAAAAAATCATCGTGTATGAGAAGTAGAGATTGGAGGGTTTTTTTCCCCCAAAGTTATATAAAGATAGCTCCATTGCTTTTGAAAACAATAAATGTCTATAAACTTTAAAAAAAGAGGGCCGGGGGTTTAGCGCAGCGGCACAAACGCCTGCTTGGCAAGCACAAGGTCATAAGTTTG